TAGCAGTACAGAGAGCTATGAATGTAGCTTTGGGTGGGAGGGTTTGGAAGGCTACACAAAGAGGTGGTGCTTGGCCTGACCCTGAAGTAAGAAAGAGCCAGGGACATATAGGGGAGAGAAGAGCCTTCCAGGCAGAGGACATGACATGGGCAAAAGTATGGGAGGCAGAAATGATTTGGTAGATTCATGGATTCATGATAATTCTGTGTGGCTGGAACCTAGGGAGCAGAAAGAGAGGAGGATCTGATCAGTCAGATTGCTGGGGAGTCTCATCCCACAGGGAGAACTTTCTAGTAGGGACACAAAGTATTAAGATCTACGTGTTAGAAAGGTTGTTCTTTATGTGATAGCAGCGTAGGTAACACACGATGAAGACAGTGGACAGGCAGAGGGGACGGGTGCTAGAGAATTCAGCAGGTTGAAGGGACATTGTTGAGAGGGGCCACATGGAGGAGTTGGAGTTGAGAGGACCCAATAACTGATTCAATGTGGAGGGGAATTGGAGGGACAGGAAGAAAGAAGAGTTTGACTRTTAGATGAGTTCTTAGTCTTTTTGTGACTTAGTTTCTTAATCTGTGAAACAGTGATCATATCTACTTCAGAAGGCAGATGAGTTTTAATGTTTCTTAGGAGCTTTAAATAAGTACATGTAAAACAGCCCAGGGAATGGAACATAGTACGCCCTCGATAAGTGTTAGTTATTATGTTTACAGTGGATCATTAACTAGCACAGGGGAGCCAAAAAAAAGCAAGTTGCGGAGGTCATAGACACACCTTTGAGTTCCATTTTGAACACACTGAATTTGAGGTGACTTCTAATGTCTGGTGAGATGRCCCATGAACAGTTGGAAATATAGGTTGCAAATGAAAGGTTTAAGATTTATATGCATTTAAAAAATTCTCTGATGATCACTTCTATAATTGTTTACCTTCACCAAGACCTCATAAGAAAAATCTCAGTTCTCATTTGTAAAGATATGACTATTTTCAGGTCACAGAGTAGATAGATCCTGCTCAAACCCAGAGACTTAAGTATGGCTGTTCAGAACTGATTTCCTGGACCACTAGCCAGCAAGAGTTAAYAATTATTATCCATTTATGCTTTTTTTCAAAGCCAATTTCTCAAAGTCTGAAAGTCTCCAGAGAATGTACTAATCCTTTGCTTCTTCCAATCCGAGTTCTGGACTTTTATTAATGGTCTTTTGTCCAAGTGTTTTAACATYTCAATATGTTTTGAACAACCGTAAGAGACCCAGGATGGTGGTGCGCACTTGTAATGCCAGCTACTGGGGAGGTTGAGGCGGGAGGATGGCAAGTTCAAGGCCACCCTGGACAACTTTACAAGACCCTATCGATAAGATAAAAAGGGCTGGGAATGTGGTTCAGTGGTAGAGCACTTGCCTAGCATGCACRAGGCCCTGAGTTCAACCCCCAGTACTAAAAAACAACAATAGCAAACAAAAATACYCACAACAGTTCCTCATACTTGGGTGGGTGCTCATTCAAATCTGCATGCACACAGCTATTTATTACTTTAGTACAGCTAAATAGTACAGTGCAATTACCCAATGTCTAACCTTTTCCTGTTATTCATATGCTATTAGTAATGGAAATTTACATTGTTCCTTTCATTTTGTAACAACTCATCAGAACACATGACCCAGATGCCTTGCTGGCTATGAAAACAGCTCTGTGCAGATGCAGACAAAGAGCTCCATCCAAACTTCTTTAATATAATGGGCATTTTCAACAGAGATCTTGAGTGGCATCCAGATAACAATGGAATTGCTATGTGAATAGATTTACTTTGAGCTGTTTTTAGACACTTTAAAATATTAGTACATGCAAACGTTCATTCAGMAGGTATGTGTGATCTAACCTGGTAACTGTGTCTTATACCTGAGGCCAAGCACCAAGGCGTCTTCCTACTTATGCTCTTTCCAARGTGGCCTACTCAAGCTCYTCTCTTTTGGATAGTGTAGAGTGTTCTGTTGATTTCTTTTAAAAAATAATATTTTAAGCCRGCTTCATTTTCTTCTTCTGTGGGGATCCACAGCAGGTAAAGGGAGGCAGTCTGACAGAGTTAAATGCACCAAGTCTTGCAGTCAAATCCCTTCACCTTGGCTTCCTGACTTTGTTAAGACATTCCTCCACAGCCTTGATGCAAACTAGAAGAATTGATTTCTCTTTTACRGGACTGTTGTACTGATAATTAAGGACAAAGCTTCTAGCAGAGCAGTTGGGATACAAAGTAAATCCTTAAGCTCCAGGTCCTCAATGAGTGTTCCATTTCCACTATTATTTAGACAGAGCCCCTGTTCTCTGAGCCTCCTTGGCAGGACAGGTATGGTATTGGGTAATTAGGGTGTGGTATGGTAGTAACAGGAGGCATGGACGGCATACAACAAAATACATCAGAGTTAGGAGGACTTCAGACCCAGGCAATCCAGTGTCAGAGCTCATGTTTCTGACAACCGATTAATATGCTTTCTCTTGGTGTCTTTGTTTTCCAAACTTTATTTTACACACTGGATACAGTCACTAAGTTTTCTTGTGAAAATTATACAAATCAAGGGAAATTCAGGGGAAAGTCAAACAGAAGAAAAGGAATTGATCTGAAATAAAATACAGTCCAGCAGTTTCTTCTCTCAAGGTGGAACCTAAGACCTGCTTTCTCTTGACACAGCCCAACCCAGCTGTGCTCCTTCCTACTTACACCATTTCCGAGGYGGCCTACTGAAGCTCTTCTCTTTTGGATAGTGTAGTTTAGAGTGTTCTGTTGACTTTTTTTAAAAAAATAATATTTTAAACCAGCTTCATTTTCTTCTGGGAAGTGTGACATGTAACATCAGAAGCCCAGTCAGTGTTTGCAGGCAGAGGGACTGTCCTGCTTTACCAGTACTTTCCACTAGAGAGCGCTGCCCCAAGATTTCAATTTTGATGGTATTTTCAAAAAACTGGCAYATTTCGGTCTGCTAGTAAATCCCTGTTCCCTTGAAGCAATATTGTAACTTTATAGACATGTTGGTCACATTGAAGCTCTTCTGGAAATCCACGAAGGGGAAATAAGATCACATTTATTTCGCTTTGGAGGCTGAGACATGAGGATCACAAGTTCAAAATCAGCCTAAGGCAATTGAGTGAGACCCTATCTGGGAAAAAAAAAAATCACACTCATTTTACAGCATAATCTGAGGACTGAGTCCTGTGGAGGGAGTTACATTTTCAWAAATCATAATATTCATAGGAAAGAATGGTTATGAGCTCAAAGGCTACCTTAAAAATTCCCGTGCACTGGATCCATCCCAGGTTTGCTTTTTTTGGAATATCTAACTAACTCTTGCTTGCAACTACTCTTTATCCCTCCCTCCCTTTCTTTYCTCACACTAAGACACTAGGAATTTGACTTAATAAGCACACTGGAAGCAGAAGAAGCAGATTCCAAAACAAGGGTGTTCAGAAATGATCCCTCAATCTCCCTATAGGGCGAGGGGCAACTCACCTCTGCTCATCAGCTTCTTCCTCCTTTATAACCAAGTTACCTAATTTTTTTCCTTCATGCCCTTCCCCAGAGCACTGCCTCCTTCAGTGTTCCAGCTGACCTCTTAGCTGTCTAACTCTGAAAGTTTTCCTCCAATGCCCTTACACAAAGGCAATAGCTTATAGCTGCATCCKAATGTTTAATGCTTCCCATAATTTAGTTCCACTATTGTCACGACACAGGATGAAACAGGTCAGGGTCACTCCAGGAGAACTGGGCTGACATGAAATAATGACACACAGACAGAGAAATACTTTTTTYCCTTTGGGTTCCGTGGCGGCCCCTCTGACTCAGCTCCCACCACAGAGGCAAGGCAGGCAATAAAGGGAAAGAGAGCGACTCAAACCTGGTTTTATTGGGGAAAAGCCATTCAAATGAGGCAAAGGGGTCGGGTTTCAGGGGGTTGAGTCTAGCTTCCTGATGTCTTGCTGTCAGCAGGTTGATTGACATCTTGGAAGRCCACGCCCATCTCAAGTGCTGTGTGGGGATCAAAGGCAGAACAAGCGAAAGGGACACAAACGTGCACAGCCCACACAGAGCAGCATCTCAGTCTAGTCCGCTTTGTGCACTCAGGATGCTCACAGCTCACACACACAGCCCGTGGCTGGTTGACCACATACATAGCTCCTGTCCAGAGCTGCTCCCTATGCACTATGCTTATTGGCATTGATCTGTCCCTACTTCCAACATGTACCTTTTCTGTTCCAGCAGGTTGGTCACTTCAATTCTCTCCAACAACATTTACAGCTCGCACACAGGGTACAAGTCATTATGTTGGGTGGTGGTGGATACAGAGAAAAATAAAGCAATGAATAAAAGACATGGGTCTTATCCTTAAGTAGTGTATCCTGTAGTGAGGAGACCAAATAATTATGTATGCTATGAGTCAGAATAAAATGAGCCGTGATTAGTTTTAGCTGATGATACCGGGAGACGCTTTATAGAATAGGTGCCTTTTGAGGTGGGCATTGGAGGATATGTACGTGGACAGGGGTAGCGACACRCATTCTGGTTGAGGTACTCCATTTTGCACAGGCAAGGGACTGTGAGCCTATGTGAAGCCCCAACTACACCCCACAGACCAGTTATCTGCCTGATTCCCACCTTCCCTCTGCCTCTCTCTGTGGCCCAGCTTCAGCCTCGCCTCCTCCTCTAGCTCTTCTGACTGTTGTAGTTCATTTCACTGCTTGCAGCTGCAGTTTAGGACTTGACTGTAGTGTCTGTGTTGAATTTCTCTCTTCAGCTGGGCCAAAGGCAAGACATCATGCTCATCTTTGGGCCTCGCCACCCTAAGAATGGTAGCGGGTGCTAGAAAGTTCTATGGATTCATTCACTGGGATGGAAAACCTCATTCTACCTAAATGCAGCTTATTTTTTTTTTTCTTTTTTTGCTGTAGGAGATTTAGACAGGTTTGCTAACACAAAAGGCAAACCATCCTCTTATGATCACATGACTGTCCAGCTGAGCTGGGGGTGATTCCTCCTTATGGCTAGCCATCTGGCCATGTGTTTGTGGGGATTCTGGAGCAAGGCTCTCAACCTCAACTTGAACCTCCTGCCCCTCTGAGCTGAGAATAAGGAACTGGGTGAAATCCAGTTTCATAACCTGCACCATTACTCCCAAGTTTCCTCTAGTGAACCACTGTGCTTCCTTCAAGGTTTCTTGTTGGAATGGCTGGTTTGCACCCATTTCCACCAAAAGCAAAAAACATAGCTGGTTAATTTCTGTTGGAGAACAGAGGTACTGGGTGTGTCATCTTCCTGCTGACACCGCTCAGAGTGACACAGAAGGAAGACTTGGCCAGAAAGAAAGTCCTGTAAGACTTTTGAAACAGAGCCCAAAGAATAGTGCTCCAACATCCTAGTTTCTACCGAAGGAGTATTTCTAACACTCCATTTGGAGAGCGTGTCTTCATGACTAACAGCCAAAACTCTGACAGCTTGTGCCCTGCACGTAGGTCCCCAAGCAAAGGAGCGAGTGGGGGCTGGTACCATGCCATGCACTTGAGTGAGGGGCTCCCTCTGTCCCAAGGAAAGAGTATCTTTTCCTAATTTGCTCAAGATGATTTAGGAACTGGTGAGGGCCGTGTACCAGTGTTCCTTGCATACACAGAGTGTGAGCAGAGCATTCTTGCTGGTGCGTATGGCATGTTACAGGTGTGCAAAATATTGATTCCCTTCTTCTCACAGCTGCTGGACAGGTCTGTTACCTCTRGTCAAGAGAATCTTCCAGCCACGTGCAGGAGCAACTTTGATKGTTTAACCACAGAGTGCCATAAGAAAACATTATTTTCTGCACGTGCCATGATGTGAAGGAGATTGGGAAACTGCTCTGTCATTCATCCGAATGGGAGCCAGTCAGAAAGGGCAAGTAACCATTTGTCTGTTGGTACCAGCCATGCTCAGCAACAGAAGGTTTCCTGCTTGGCTTATGTGTTGGGATGTGGTGATTTGCAATCTCCCAGTAAGAGCTGTACAGAGAAGGTCTAGATCCAGGACACTTGCCACAATGGGTGACTGCAACTCAGTTTCCCAGGGAGAATGCCATCTGCCAGCTAGATCACAATTTCATAGGCTGAAGTCTCCTGGGAGGTCTATTGTCCTGKGTGCCGGTTTTCTCTACCTGTGCACGAGAGGAAAATGTGAGTATATGTCAACTAAAAGGTGTGCCTAGGGAGATCCAGTCCCATGTGGTACCCAGGAGAATTCAGCAAGTGGCACAGGAGGTGGGGTGTCTTAGATTTCCCTAGTGCTGCAGAAATCTGGGGTAGCAGGGCCTTGTCTTTGCCCAGTTCTTTTCCTCTTCTCCGGCCACCCCATCTGGGACCCCCTGGGAATTTCTTTGCTCAGAAAAGYGCAGTAGGAGGGAATGGGGGAAATTGGCATTGATTTTGACTCTAGGCTTGAGACAACATCCAGGGCTCCAGCTAGCTGCATTCTTTGTTCCTAGTTGGGCCCAAGTTCTTTCTGTGTCCCAATAATTCTACTTTCAGCTGTACACAGGGAAAGCCACTGCAGGCTTTCCATTACTGGTGTCTCTCGTGATCTAGGCATTTAGAATGCTGTCAACAACCTTCCCACGGGCTTGCGAAGTCTTGGGTTTTCAATTACCTACTGATGGACGGGGATCACCAAAATGACTGCCACAAAGAGGAAAGCAAGGATCAAAAACCGAAAAGGATTTACCTTCTCACAGTACTGCACGGTGGAATAAATTGTGTTCACCGGCTCTTCTTTGAAGGGAGTACCCTGGAAAACAACATCCATAGTCCCCTCCGTGAGCCTTCGATGAATCTCCCTTCCTAATTCTGCCTCACCCATCCCCCTTCTCTGGTCCCAYGTTTACTGGGTGGTCTCTTCTCCTGGCCTCAGATCTAGTTTCATCCAACTTTGGAGAGGACATGGATCAGGTGGGGTGAGGGGAGTGTTGTCTGCAACTGGGAGGGGAGGAGGAGCCAAGAGGAGGGATGTGCATGGTTCAGACAGACTGAGTCTTGCTTAGTCCGAGTCTTTGTTTTCCACTGGCTCCATGGGTGGAGCAGCCCTATCAGTCCAGGCACAGTGCTAGAGTGACTGGGAAAACTCCTTTCAGATCTCAGGGCAGCAGGCTGGTGGAAACACAGATGGAGGTGAGCCAGGGTGTGGAATGGAGGGAGTCAGAGTCTGAGGAAAATAACCTGCTGCTGCAAGACCAAGCAGCAGAGTGGCTCCAAGTACAGAACTGACCCTTGGAGCCACCTTAGCATCTGGTTTGCTGTATCCATGGCAGCAGCCCTGTCCTCACACTAGGGGCTCCTCTTTTGGCCCCTCTAGAGGGTGCTTCTTAGTCATGACTCTCATCTAACTCAGAGCCAGGCCTGCATGCAGATGCTCATGACTTCAAACCTCAGAGGCTGCCAGGGGGTGCAGTGGACCACATTCCTGTCCTCACAGAGGAATTCATGCTATCTTTTCCCCTGACCTGCTGTTTCCTGGTTGGAACCTCCAGACTTGCCGTGACTGCTTTCCGGGCAACAGAAGCCAAGGGCAATGGTGGCTCTGTCCTGGGGGTGGTGGTGGAATTTCCTGATAGCATCAGCAGCTCACCTTGCACTGAGGGATTTCATCATAGATTCTGGCCTCTGCTGGTTGAGCGTCTCTTGAAATGGTGATGCTCGAGTATATTGTTTTCTTTGAGACAGTACCTGGGTCACAAATAAACAGAACCACAGTCTGAATGGTGGATGAGCTTTTAAAGATCATCTTAGTCCTATGTTCTTTTTTATTATGAAGAAATAAAGCCATACGAGGTCAAATGGCTTCATCCTATTGAGATGGATTCTTGGATCTTGGGATGGGCTCTTTCCTTTTTCCAAAAATAACATGTGGAATAGGAGGCATGCTTCTCACCCAGAGCTCAGTGGGGTCTCTCTTCTACTCTAGAGTACGTGGTAGGCTAAAGAGGATCTCTTCCTCCCTGTGAGAGCAGTCAAAGGTAGCTCTTCCACCCAGAGTTTTCCTTAGTGTCTCTTGTAATTAGTAGGGATGTCCTCGCGTGGCTAGCTGACTTTTCATCTCAGGGCCTTTGTTTTTTAACAACATTGATTCTCTCTGGTTGTACACTGTGTTGCATTATTCCGTTACATACCTTCCTATAACCACCTCAATGTTATGCACATAGTAGATGCTCCACAAACCTTGGTTCCTTGCTTGATTGATTCACAGAATTAAGAAACACTTACTAAGCTCCTTTTATGTGCCAGGTTCCCAGAGAAGCAAACACAGGAGAAATAAGTACCTATTTTTTGGTAATTTATAAGATAGAAGGGATATTCATCCCAGTGTACTCCTTTTCTTTGTTACAAACAGAATATAAATTTAGAGACAAATTGAAAAGAGGGCTAGGGCTGTAGCTCGGTGGCAGAGCACTTGCCTAGCATGTATGAGGCATTGGGTTGGATCCTTAGCACCACATAAAAATAAATAAATAAAATAAAGGCATGCTGTTTCTCAATAACAGAGAGAGAGAGAGACAGAGAGAGAGAGAAAGAGAGAGAGAGAGAGAGAGAGAGAGAGAGAGAGAGAGAGAGAGAGAGAGAGAGAGAGAGAGAGAGAGAGAGAGAGAGAGAGAGAGAGAGTGCGTTCACCTGCATGCTTACATGCACATGCCAGATTTTGGGGCCCTCCTATTCCAGGGCACCAGCATATCCACAAGTAAGGGGTCTGAGCTGAGCAGTATCACAGCTCCAACATTTCAGAGTTTGGTCCTGTCTCAGTTCCTGCCCCAGACGTGGTGAGGGACCCAGACTGAGTGCTGTCTCTTATCTCATTTGTAAACATGAAAAATAGCCCCTCTCTTTCCCCAAGAGGTTGTGAGGGATCGAAGACAGATATCTCTTGAGGGACCTTGCAGATCACCTACAATCCGAGCAGCCTGTGATTTCTCCCCTTTAGGAGGGTATTTAAGTTATGATGCCTGTCAAACACTCCCTTCCCTGGAATGCCTCCTCTGTACCCACACTGTCAATACCCTTCAATTACAAAGAGAGTAGCTGACATTTACTGAGTATTTACTATGTTCCGGGCCAAGCATTTCATATACTCCACTTAATAAGCATGTGCAGCAAGCTGTATTATTATTATCATGAATATTTTACAGTTGAGAAAACTGAAGTTTACGATGATAAAATAACTGGTAGCTGATATGTGATCAAGTTGGGCATGCACCCTCAGACTGACGGCCCAACAGATACTTAGTCTTAATCACTGTGTGGTGAACTTCCCTCCCTCCCAGTTGTTATTCAGGAAACATAGGGCTGGGAGTTCCTAGTGAAGGGTGTCAAGTAAGAACCCGAGGAAGCAGAAACAAGGGAGGGTTAGAAACATGGAAGCAGAGGTTCCATATTGATTATTGTGACTGGTGAGAAACGAAGATCTTAGATGGACCTGGGGTTAAGGGGAATGGGGCAGTGTAAACCCTCTTAGGGACTTAAAATCAGGTTTCCTTTCTCCCTCCTCTCTCCCTCCCTCGTTTCCTCCCTCCTTCAATCCCTCCCTCCCTCCCTCCTACCCTCCCCTTCTCCTCTCCTTCTGTCCTCTATTTCTCCTTCCTTTCTTCCTCCCTCTCTCCCTCTTTCTTTCTTTCTTTCCTTCCTTCCTTCTTTCTTACCAATTAATACATGTCCCTCATAGACTCGCCAAAGGTCATTATCAAAATACAATGATATTGGAAGGGACCCCAGAGACTCTTCGGTTCAGACATTTCGCCCGTGAGGACATTGAGTCCGAAGTGAACACACTAGTGCAACAAAGCATGACTGGTTACTGGCAATGCTGAACTCAAACCCAAGTCCTGGACTCACCAGATACTGGCGATCCCAAGAACAGATTCTGAGGACTGCTCAGGGTAACCTCCTACAGTCCCCAGGGCCATCATCCAGGGAGGTGGTGAGGTGGTGGGGTGGGGATTGTAGGAAGGTTAGAAAAATGGGCCTTTCCTGTCACGAGCCGTTCATGGGTTGTATGTGGGTCACTGTGCATGGAAGCCTCGTGGATAGAGACATCTGGTGTCTGGGAATGGCCAATGGACATTTCCTCTGATCAATTGCTCAAGGACAGTGTGAATATCTTTCCTGCTCTGCTGTGGCCCACTCAGCACCCGAGATGGGTGTGACCTGCCAAGATGTCAATCAACCTGCTGACCGCAAGACATCAGGAARCAGGACTCTGCCCTTGAAACCTTATCCCTGCCTTTGATGTACCCCCTGAAATAAACCACCTAAGCCATTTTCTCTTTGTTTAGTTCAAGAACCCATGTGGACTAGATCTATCAGGAGCTTCACTCTCTGTAAATATATTTCTCAGTRTCTGTGTTTTATTATTTGTTAATTATTTGAGATGTTAAGATTTTAAGATGGCTTGGACTCCTCTGGGCAGAAGAAGAACCCTCTCCTGATACTCTCCACTCCACCTTGGGTAAATGACTTCAGTTCCTGGAGGGAAGAAGGTCCATCTTCACAGTTCACCGTCGGGGAGAATCCTACCTTGCCTTCTCTTGCACAGACGGAGGAGAAACACTGAAGGCAGGATGAGAACCAGCAGAAAGAGCACAGCCAGCCCGCTCAGCATCCCGGGGTGGCGRGGACGGGAGCCGGTTGCAGCGTCTGGAAATGGATGCTCCAGTGAGTCTGGACTCTCAGGAAATAAGCACGAGACTCTTGGCAGCCTTGTCCACATTCAGGGCCACTGTCAAAACTGGGTGTCCTCAGCTGGGCATGGGGGTGCCCACCTGTAACCCCAGCAGTTCAGGAGGTTGATCCTCCTGATCACAATTTTGAGGCTAGTCTGAGCAATAGAGAGAGGCCCTATCTCAAAATAAAGAACAAAAAGGCCTGGGGATGTAKCTCAGTGGGAGAGGCCCCTTTGGGTTCAACCCCCAGAAAGGCAAAAAAGAAAAAAAAAAGAAGAAAGAAAAAATTGGGTGCTCCCCCAAGGAGTGCTAAAGCTCCATCCCATACCTTCTCCTATTAAAAATCAGGAATTGGATCAGAGACGCTCAGGTTTGCCTCAGAACACCCTGAATGCTTAGCATCTTGAAAAAGACTTTGGCCAATTTCTGAGCAGGCTTCCTGGGAAGAGATGTTCCCAGAGACCAGGTTCAGCCTAAAGGAYGCCCATTCCCCTAGGGGTGAGACCAAGTTCAGACCCTGAAGATCGTCGGAGTGATTTCTGAGATTCATCAGGAACAAAGTCAGAGCTGGTTACCTGCACAGAGCTKCTGGGCGGAGATGGAGTCAGAACTGTTGCTGACGGGGTTCCAGGCGGTGCACGTGTAGGTCAGCTCTCGGTCCTGAGGGGTCTGGAAGAGCTGAAGGACATGGCCCTCTTCTCCCAGGGGGCTCCAGCTGTATGTCACATTCTCTTCTTCTCTCTCCACAGAACACGTCAGGGTGACATTACAGGTGCGATTCACAGATGTCATGAAACTCTGCGTGATTTTTGGTTTTTCAAGCCGACCTGTGAGGGGGAAAATACGTGAACTCATGGTGAGCAGGAGCTGGTTGATGCCAGCTGATGAGAACCAATGGTTAAATTTTCAAGATGATTGTTAAATATAGTATTATTAAAAACTAAATGATGGCTGAGGGCTGGGGTCGTGGCTCAGCGGTAGAGCGCTTGCCTAACACATGCGTGGCTCTGGGTTTGATCCTCAGCACCACATAAAAATAAACAAAATAAAGGTATTGTGTCCAACTAAAACTAAAAAATAAATATTAAAAAGAATCTTTAAAAAAAGTATGGCTGAGTGCTGTGGCACGTGCTTACCATCCTTGTAATCCCAAGAGTTGGGAGGCTGAGGCAGGAAGATTACAAGTTCAAGGGCAACCTGAGAAACTTAGTGAGACCCTGTATCAAAATAAAAAAAGGTTGGGATGTAGTTCAGTGTAGAACACCCATAGGCTCAACCCCCAGTACAAAAATATATGTTAATATATTGTATATATTATAATATACATATATTTTAATATGCACATATATTTAAGGACAACTAGAATTTTCTTTGGTAGGTGATGGATAATTTTAAGTTTTTAATATCCACATTAAAATAGTAAAAATAAACAGGTAACATTAATTTTAGTAATGCATTTTATCTAAGCTACTATCCAATATATCACTTTCCCTTGTAACCAATGTGAAAATCATTAATGAGTTTTTTTATACTCTGCTCTTGGTGCCAACACTTCAAAATCTGATGTGTATTTTACACTCACTGCCATTTCAATTTGGACTCATTACATTTCAGCTGCTCAAGAGACACAGGTGCCTGATGGCTACCATATTGGACAAGGTGAGTCTAGATCAGTGCTTCTTAAACTTTAGCCACATAGGAACAATCCAAAGTGTGAGATTCCTGGACTCTACCACCAAACGTTGGAAGTGAGACATGAGAATCTGCATCTTCAAAAATCTTCCAGGTGATATTGCCAGGCTAGAGACCATATTTTGGATGATATYGTGTGACACATCATGCCAGTTATAATGATGATAATAAGTAGTTCTGATATTTTACCTTTAAAAAGAACTTTGCAAGTTGTATGCATGTATGAATATGTAATAATAAATCTCATCATTAGGTACAACTATAAGGCACCAATAAAAATGTGGAGAAAACCATTAAAAATTTTTWAAAAAATTATCATTAGCTACTAGAGAAATTCAAATGAAATGAAATGAGATATCACTACACACCCATTAGAATGGCCAAAATTAAAAAAAATAATGCTACCGCCAAAGGCTGGTGAGGATGCCGAGCAACTGGACCCCTTATACATTCCCAGGGGATGTACCTAAAATGTAAAATAGTTTGGCAGTTTCTTTTAAAACTGAAAATGGACCTCGCATCTAATTTCATTCTTAGACATTTATTCCACAGAAGTGAAAATTTATCTCCTAAAGAGACTTGTACCCAAATGTTATAAATCTTATAAACGGCCTTATTTAGAATAGCCCCAAGGTGAAAACAATTAAAATGTCCTTTGACAGGTGAAGGGTTAAATGAACTACTGTGCTTGCACCATGGGATTGATACATACAATAGTTTGGGTAAATCTCAAAGAAATTATGTCAAATGAAAAACAGGTCTCAGAAGGATATATTCACATTGCAGGAGTCCATCTACATAACATCTGTGGAGTGACATGGTTATAGATAGGAGCAAATTAGCCCTCTCCAGGGGTTAGTAATTTAGGAGCAGAAAGAGGGAGGTCATAGGTTGTCCACGAAGCACAAGGGAATCCTGGGATGGCACATTTAACTATTTTGCTTGTGGTGGTGTTTGTTTACATGAAGTTGCATGTGATGGCTGTGATGACAATGACTTACAGTACTGGAAATTGAACCCAGGACTTTGCACATGCCGAGCAAGTGCTCTACCACTGAGCTCCATCCCCAGCCCTTTTTATTTTGAGACCGGCTCTAACTTGCCCAGGCTGGCTTTGAACTTGGGATCCTCCTGCCTCAGCCTCCAGAGTAGCTGGGATGACAGGAGTGCACCACAAGGTCCAACCAGGTGTCCTTTAGACAACAGAACAAAAGTAGGAACCCAGCTCTCCTTCCTCCCACAACTCACGGTAGACCTGCAGGTGGTAGCCTTTGGTGGTGGTGTAGGGAGCGTTCTTTGTGTTGATGTCTGCTCGGTAGACGCCTGCATCTTCCATCTTCAGATCATTAATGATCAGGTTGTAGTTGTGATCTGTGACTTCTATTCGTTCATAATAATTTCTGTGGGTCGTGACAACTGTGGGTKCTGTTCCTGGGTCTCCTGGTGTCATAAAAGCAACAGATGTTTTAGAAGTCCACGCAATGCTGGCGAGTTGCTCTGATTCTTGAATATTTAAGGGAAAAGTAGCCGACTCCCCCAGAATTCCATTCACCACCATCAAGGCTGCATCATTTCCAGCTGCTTCCAGCCCTGAGGACAAACAGAAAACTGTAACATCTGACTCTGGGCACCATCCAGTTCCTTGTCTTCTCAGCCTATAATCTCCCTGAGGAGCTTCCGTGGGTACAGCTCAACCTGTTTCTTGACAATGTCTTTAGCACTTTATTGTAGTATATTTAATGTTATGACAACTATATTTTCTAAAGGAGTCTCACTTAAAATTTAGTTTCTCAGTGAATTTGTAGAGATCTGTTTTATTAAAACATGTTTACCTAGTGTACACTTTCTGAAAGTTAGAAGGCAATTTGAGAGATGAAGACCACAAACCTGCCTGAGGTCCAAGATATACCAAGTGTACTTCTTTCTCAAGATCATATTGCCAAGTAGTGGAAGAGCTTGGGACRAGATCTAGAATATCTGGGCTGGTGGACTCTTGGGTCACTGCTTTTTATTTTTCTGTGGTATTTGTAAAAAAAACAGGTTACATGTTTTGCTTTTCTTCATGGAAGATATAGGCAGAAGATAAGGGTAACCATAGTGACTTTGCACCATCTGGTTAAGAAAGCCCTTCATTTCTGTGACAGAGGCTCTGGAGAAATTATTCCCCTAGTTGACGATTTTTCTTGGGGTGTCTTTTTGGGTCACTTCTATATCCTCATTCTCTAGAATACCTGATGCATAAGGGGTTGCTTAGAAAATATTTATGGAATGAGTTTGAGCTCATTCATGTGTTGTCTAGACTTTCTTGGACCAGCTTKTGAAGTAAGCAAAGATCACTTCTTCATTCATCCTTTTATGAATGAATGCATGTCTTTATTCGGGGTCAGTTTTGTTCCAGACACTTTGGCAGATACTTATTAATTTGATTTATGATACCAATGTTTTTTTTGGCATTTACTCCTTAAGCATGATACAAGAAGCTGGGGATAGAATGGTGAGTGAGAAGAGATAGGGTGCCTGCTTCACTTACCAATGTCGATCAGATAACCCACAGACAAAGAGACAGATAAAAAATAAGCAATGATATGCTTTGAAGGAGAAGAGTAAGGGGACTTGATCTATCTTGGGAATCCAGGGAACATTTCCTAGTGAAAGCTGAAGGGTATCTATCTACTCTTAAATGTAATGTGGGAAAAGTGAAAAAWTTAATCTCCTTTTCTTCTCTCCTCCATCACCTTGTGAAGATAAACTGATTGAATACGTAACTGTAAAATTAGAGGCAATATAATTATAAGGTATTATTTTCTCACCTTTTATTATGATGTTATTCTCTGAGGTTGTTTTTTAATTTTTTTTTTTGTGGTGCTGGGAATCATTTATTTTTGTGGTGCAAGGCCTGGTGCATGCTAGACAAGTGTACTTTCCCGAGCTATACCCCCAAGCCCTCAAATTACTTCAAAACTGATTGGACAGGCGCAGCCCAACCAGAAAGGTGTCAGTCACAAACAGCTGTTTGGACTGTTCTGATGTGTACTTCTTATATGTAAGTTTCGAAGGCCAGGGTGTGTTTCCCCCATATGCAGGTTCATGCTGACCCTAAAATTCATATAGGTCTTGGCATAGAGAGGGCAAGAATACGGGCTATGGAGAATACAAGTCACTTGGAAGTGTCACAGGAATAAAGGGCTTTCTTAACCTGTTGGTGCAAAGTCACTATGGTTAGTTACCCTGGTCTTCAGCTCAGTAAGTACTGCAAAAGCCCCAGGGCTGCTCACAGAAACCTCTGTCCTTTCAGATCAAGGGAGATCCTCCCTAAGGAGAAATACCCCAGGCAAGGTCTGCTGTGTTAGTTGGAGCAAGCAGGCTAAGCCCAGAGGAGATGTCACCAGGCCCTGAGATGGGAGAGGAGACAAAGATTTATTAAGTGCTAAACCATGTGCCAGATGCTGAGTTAGAGACACCGGGCTAAGCAGATTATCACTGCAGCCCTAAGGGGCTTGAAGCTCAAAGAATAATAACGAAAAAAATACAATGGTGAGTGCCAAACAGAAACAGCAATAGGAACAGATCACTGAGGGGACAGAAATTTCGGTTAATGCTGCCTTCGGTAATTGCAGTCATATTTTGCCCAAATCTTTTGAACCTGAATTCTCTCCAGGTAAACTGTTCTACTGAGCTGATGAGGTCTGGTAGTGGGGCACTTGAGTGTCCCAGCCTGAATTCTTGGATGTCCCAGTTATTGGCATGGGATCTGTGCAGTTGAGCCTAGAAGGACCCTGAACTTGGTTCATGGCAGCGATTCCAAAGGGCCCCATGTTTTCACTTTGCATTAGGTCCCGTGAATTTTAGAGCCAATCTTGCTCCTGCATCTTCCATGTCTCAAGGTTTTATAAAAATTAGGCTCAAGTGTCTAACCGTCTTTCCACTCTGGATTTGAGTTAGGTCAAATGAAGCGAACAAGACCTGAGACTTGCAGTTCTTGTGGGTTCTTAAACCCTAGCCCTGGGGAGGCACTTTGCTAAGACTGAGAGCTTCTTGGTATTAGGGCAGTTGGGAAGCCACAAGTGATGGGTGGGTGGTACAGTTTGAAGGGTGTGCCTGCTCTCCATAGCCAGTCATTCAGGAAGTGATGCTGGGTTATCAAAGGGCAATCGGGCAGYGGGGGTGGAGGGGAGACCAAGCCGGAGGAAGTCCTGCTACTCTTTGTGCTTCTGGTGCTGTTGATGCCAACTCCCTGCTTGGTGAGAAAAGGCAAAGCGTCCACAGTCATAGGATAAAGGTTCTGCCACCTTTAAACGTTCCCAATTGTGCTCTAAGTAGCTGGAAAACCCATGTAGTGGAAAGACAGGAAGGCAGAAGATGTAGGCGCCAGTACTTCTATTTATGAACTGGGTGACCCTAATAAAGTGACAAAACATTTCTGAATGTATTTCATTAGCCAGGATGAAAGTAAAACTATATTGGCCACTATCTGCTTAGCAGCAAATGATGACATGCTTTGTTAACCATCAAGGCAAAACTGGCAYTGGTTATTTGGGGGATTGGTAAGGATCAATTGCATTATGCCCTTTACAGCTTCCATAGGCCATCCCTATGGCATCCCTGGTGATGCCAAGGACATAGGAGCCCTTTTAAAGTCTTCTTCTTTTTTTAATAAAGAAGCACTATATCACTGAGCTATATCCCCAGTCCTTTCTAGTTTTTGAGATAAGCCTCACTAAGTTGCTAAGGCTGGCCTCCGATTTGTGATCCTCCTACTTCAGCCTCCCGAGTTGCTGGTATTACAGGCATGCACCACCATAGCTGTCTCTTTTAAAAGACATTTTTAAGGAATAATTAAAGTAAAGCTTGGAGGGGTGGTTTTTAGGTACTCTTTTTTTCTTTTTTGGTACTGGGGATTATATTCAGGGACGCTCTACCCCTGAAATAATCCCCAACCCTTTTTATTTTGAAATAGACTCTTGCTAAATTGCCCAAGCTGGCTTTGAATTTGTGAATTTCCTGTTTCACTTCCCCAAATTCMTGGGATTACAGGCATGTGTCACCCAGTTTTTAGATACTCTTGGTGGACTTCATTTTGCTCTTAAAATACTTCAGAAGGTTTTAAAAGAGAATCTCCATATCAATCAATTTCAATATTTCTTTTTTCTAGGCGCTAAAGGAATTCAAATATTACATGATTACCGGAAGGCATCTTAGCAAAACTCAATTTCAGAGAAAACTTGTGGCACAGTAATGTCTTGAGAGAGGAGTAGAGGTGTAGCTCAGTGGTAGAGCAGTTACCAGCATGGGCAAGGTCCTGGGTTCCATCCCTAGTATTGCTCCCACTCACAAAAATGTCTTGAGGACTTATCATAAAATGTAAGATGCTAATCTATGACAAAGACAGGTTCTTTGGAGTTTAATATCTTGTTAGGCAAATAAGACACATGTTATGTGTATAACAGTCATGTTTGTAACTGTCATTAACACTAAAGAGGGCAAATGATAAATTCAAACAAAGAGAATAGACAGGTACTTTCAGTAGGAATTCAAGGGGAGAGGTCATGTTGAGCCTTACTGGTTAAAGAAACTTCTAGAGGCAGTAGAACTTGACAAGGGAAAAATAGAATTTTATTAGATGGGAGAGAAAGGAAGAGAATCTCAGGTTCACAGCTTTGGAATAAAAGTTTAGAAGCAGAACTCTTGATGTCAGTTGACTGAGTAGAGATTTGCATAACAGAGCAGAGAGAGGTAAGGCTGGAGAGACAAATTAGGCACAGCCTTGAGTCTGAGGTCTATGTTAGAGGCAGAGGAAACTATTAAAGTTTTTTGAGGATAAAGATTAGAATAATGTTTTAAGGTCATCRTAATATAATAATGATGCAAGGAAAACAAAAATAGAGAAGCCCAGCTAGAGAGACCCTTTAGCAGACTATTAGAGCTATCTGGTCATGAACCAGGGACTGATAATGGGATAGAAAGGAAGGGCTGGGTTTGAGAGATAGCAAAACGCAAGGCAAGAAATAAGGAGGCATCTAATAGAACCCAGTTGTTCCACAATGAATTTTGAATTTCTCTACTTTGTGCCTGGAAAATTTGTCGTGGAAAACTAGTTTATACTGGGAATTTTACGGTGGGAAGAAGTCAAAGGAGATAGACAAGTCTGGTGTTAGAAATATGGGATTGGAGAATGATAGTGGACCAGCTAAGTAAGCAGTCAGCGGATGRACGATAAGGGGGGACTGGGCTTGAAGTATTGTTGGGGTGGGGGAGCACTGTGGCCAGATGCGCTAGCTTTACCCCCACTATTTGTTCTCTCCCATATCTCAGTGATAGAGTCCTTAATTTTTGGAAGGGCGAATGGCCACCCAGAAAAAGGACTACATTTCCCCGCTGTCTGAATGGGGTCATGTCACCAAGTTCAGGCCAACAGAATGATAGTCAAGTGTGGCCTGTGCCCCCTATGTCTGTAGAAGAGGAGAATTTGCTTTCTTCATCTCTTCTTTGCTTCTTCAGGCTGAAATACCGTGACAGCGGGATCTCAGACAGATGTTATGGATCATMAGGAGAAAACCAAGGACTGAGGATGGTGGAGCAAAAGACAGAAA